TGATTCTATCCTCACCTTTTACAGCATCACCTCATCCACTGAGCGCTCTCTCCAGCCTCAGTAGTATATTTTCATAATTGTTAAAAAGCAAAGAATCTTCAATCTGTGTCCAACATTTTTAAATTCATTGACAGTGTGGTTTGAACCCAAGACTTCCTGTATGAAGGCAAGCACTTTGACCCAGCCCAACATATTCTTAATGATTGGAATGTATGCTCAGAAGGTTTGAACACTACTGAAGCACACTATTTATTTAGTGTACACATGCATGCATGCTTGTATGTATGTATGTATGTATTTTGAGCTGTAGCTCAGGCTACTCTGGAACTCACTGTGTACCCTAATTTGCCTTCAAACCCATGACAATCCTCTTGTCTCAGTCCTCCATGTACTTCAGTTAAAGGCATGCACCACCACACTTGGCTGATACATTTCTATTTAAGATAGATGTCTGGACCCAATACTTCTTGAGTTAGTCTGATCACTTTGTGCTGACTCCAGGCTAAAAACTAGTCTGCTTACAGCTGTTTCAGTCAGCTGCAAGAGACAGATTTTTTTTTTTTATATAAAAATGAAGATGTTCATTTTAGAGACAAGGTCTTGCTGTATAGAGCAGATTGACCTCCAGCTCCTAATCCTCCTGCCTCCCGCTCCCAAGTACTAGTATAAACATGTGTCATCATGCATAGCTTATGGAAAGGGATTCAGAAAAGACTCAGATTATAAGGTCAGGGTTTTTAATTTTAATTTTTAAATCTAATCAATTAATTTACTATGTATACAGTGTTCGGCTTGCATGTATGCTTGAAGGCCAGAAGAGGGCACCAGATCTCATTACACATGGTTGTGAGCCACCATGTGGTTGCTGGGAATTGAACTCAGGCCCTCTGGGAAAAGCAGCCAGTGCTCTTAACCAGAGTTCTCTCTCCGGCCCAGGGTTTTTTTAATTAGTAGGTATGCTGAGCACACTTTGCGTGTCACAGGAGGGTATCTGCTGGCTCATTTCCAGTCTTCACACGTGCCTCTTTGTTAACCAGCGTTCTCTCTCCGGCCCAGGGTTTTTTTTAATTAGTAGGTATGCTGGGCACACTTTGCGTGTCACAGGAGGGTATCTGCTGGCTCATTTCCAGTCTTCACACGCGCCTCTTTGTCAGCCTGCCACCTCTTCACAGTCTGCACTTGTAGCAAGTCCACTCTAAACTATTGTTTTCTCTTTTTCTGCAGTAGCTCTCAATCTGTGAGTCGGAACCTGTGGGTTGCAACCTCTTTCACAGGGGTCATCTAAGACCACCAGAAACATAGACATTTATGATATGATTTATAACATTGGCAAAATTACAGTTATGAAGTAGCAATGAAAATATGGTTGGGGTCATCATATCATAAGGAACCGAATTAAAGGGTCACAGCATTAGAAAGGTTGAAAACCACTGATCTAGAGACTTCTTGTGTCAGTCAGTGTGACTAGATATGTTGTGCATACCCTACACCTGGATGTGGGCTCCGTGCTGGCAGCACCAGGCTCACATGAAATCTTGTCAGCAATGCAAGTTTCAGGGCTCATCAGACCTGCTGCAAAAAGTGCTAAGCAAGTCCAGCAACTTGGGGTTTAACAGGGAGAGTAAAGTTTGAGACCCACTGACCCTGCCTTATATGTCAGTAGTAGTGACTGAGACTTGAGCTTATCCTATGCAAATAAACAAAAATGGTCTCTTTATTTTCTCTTTTCTACCCACCCCCTTTCTTTTACAGGGAAAGGGTCTTCCTTTCTTCCTTCCTTCCTGCCTTCCTGCCTTCCCTCCCTCTCCCTCTCCCTCTCCTCCCCTTCTTCCTCCCTCTCTCTTGGTTTTTCTTTTTAAAGATTTATTTATTTATTACATATACAGTGTTCTGCCTACATACTAGAAGAGGGCACCAGATTGAATTGTAGATGGTTGTGAGCCACCATGTGGTTGCTGGGAATTGAACTCAGGACCTCTGGAAGAGCAGCCAGTGCTCTTAACCTCTGAGCCATCTCTCCAGCCCCTCTCTCTTGGTTTTTCAAGGCAGGGTTTCTCTGTATAACAGTCCTGGCTGTTACACAGAGAACTGTCTGGAACTCACTTTGTGGACCAGGCTGTCCTTTAACTCACAAAGACCTGCCTGCCTCTGTCTCCTGAGTGCTGGGATTAAAGGTGTGCTCCATCATTGCCAGGCTTGTGGTAGGGTTTCTGAAATACATATTATAGCATTCCCAGACATCCTAGGTGGTTAATCTGTTTTCTCTTAGCACGTGGTACACAGTGGATGATCCGATTACATTGTTTCTGTCTTGCTATATATCTTGTTCTTGTTAGACCCCTTCAGCCATTTTCTTTTTGTTGCTTTTACTACATTTATTTACTTAATTTTACTATTTGTTGAGGTTGGGTCTGTTTTATAGCCTAGACTGACCTCAAGCTCAAGATCCTTCTGCCTCAGTCTCCGGAGTCCTGGGGTTATAGGCGTATATATTGCTATGCTCAACTTGTTTTTGTTCACTTTTGAGACAAGGTCTGTCTCACTGTGTAGCCCAGGCTGCTCTCAAACTTGAATCCTCCTGGCTCATGGGTATCCTGATTCCTGGGATTACAACTGTGTGGTATCATACCTGTCCCTTTCACCATTGTTTTAAAACTGGAACATTAGTACTGTTCTTGCTTATTTTTATTGTAGTAGTGGAGAATTATGTTTATTAGATAAATATTGTACCACTGAACCAAGTTCTTAATCCATATTTTTGAATAAAATTTCAAAGAACCCTGAAATCTATAAAGTAAAAGTCTTTTTTTTCCCCTGTGGTATTGGGGATTGAATCCAGAACCTTCTGCATGCTGAACATATATTCTACCACTGAGTTATAGCCTCATCCTCCAAAGGCTAACATTTAAATTCCTCTTTTCTAGAAGTAATAACTTCTACTTCCTAAATTTTTTCTAGAAAATTCCCCAATGCACACTTTTTGTCTTACAGAAGTATGAAACAACACAAACATCCCCCTAGATGCTGGTTTTTCTATCACTTGGGCATGTTGTATAACTTTCCTGTTTTGTACGAAGGGTGGGTTTCCAGCATGCTCAGGTCTCATGTGAAGTCTAACTCAATTCCAACTATACAGCAGATGTCAGACACAGATAGCTGTCCATTCTGGAGGAGCCCCAGCCAGCAGGTAAAACTCCTGAGAATGTCATTTCCCTGTACTTGACAGCACAGTGCCAGCATGAACATCCTGTTTGATGAGTCCATAGGACATCACCTCAAAGTGCATTTCACAGTCTGTTATTGAAATTCTTAGTTTGTCCACTGAAGTAAGATTAAGTCTCAGAACATGTTAATTTTGAATAGCAAGTGGTTTGTTGAAGCAGATGGTTTTGATGCTAGTAATATGTTCTCTTGAAAAGGAGAGAATAATGAAGTTCAAAGAATAAATACTTGCTGGCTGTTAGGGAAGTCATGTAGAATCACAAAGAGAAGGTTTATCCTACTAGTTTATTGTGGTCAGAATCACACAGCCTGCCCTGCAGAATTAGTTTAATCACACGATAACCAAACATTAACTGTTGGCACATAATTATGGTTTTTAAGGAAGTACGATGGGGGTGGGTGTGTAGGTTGCCTAGTGTATGTAAGGCTCTGATCCACATTGCTTGGGTATCAGGGAGTAGTCGACTGGTGGTGATGATTGTGTCTAACCCAATCATTTCTTTGTAAATATTTGCTTTTCATTTCCTTGGAGACACTTCTTTTTTAAATTGGCATATTAAAAAACAAAACAAAACAAAACCCAAAAACCAAACCCAAAAACCAAACCACACACATAAAAACCAGTGCTAGAGAGATGCCTTAGAGGTTAAGAGCACTTGGATGTTTTTCCAGAGAACCTGGGTTCAATTCCCAGCATCCACATGGCAACTCACAATTGTTTGTAACTTCAGTTTTTGTGGATTTGACACCCTCATAGAGACATACATGCAGATAAAATACCAATGTGTGTAAAATTTAGAAAAAAAATCAGGAAAATTCTGTGAACTATATACAGAAACACTTTTCTAAAGGAAGCCTTTCTTTTTAATTTTTTTACATGATTATTTTATTTTTATGTATTTATTTTCAGATTGGGTCTTGTAGGCCTGGAACTCAGGGAAACTTTGCTGTCTTGGAAATCTTTATTTCCATAAGCCTTTCTTTACTTATGCATATCAAAAATGTCTCTATTACCAATGCTGATGACAACCTTATTGGTTTTGTTGTTGGCACATCATCTCCTTTGGCCCAATCTGGCCTTGAACTCCTGGTCCTCCTTTCAAGTGTTGGGATTACAGTTATGCACCACTTGTAATCTGTTTTATGGGGATGGAACCTGGGGCTTCCTGCATACTAGTTAAGGACTCTACTATATCCCCCAACCCCATCCCCCAGCACACTACTTTTGGAATTCATCCTTATTGTATGTGTCAGCAACTTTTTTCTCTGAATGTTATATTTATGTAACATTTGTTTATCCACTTGTCTATGATTGGGCATCTTGGTATTTCTAGTTGGCTAGTTGGGACCTTTTGCAAATCATAGAATATACTTTCACATACAATATAGTTCATATTTTCATTTCTCTTGGGTAAGTGTTCATGAGCAGAAGGGGTGGATTATATAATTAGTGCATTTTTAACTTTATAAGAAACTACTTATGATTTAAACTATAAAAATTTAATAAAAATAAACAAAAATTTTCCAAAGTGATGTGGCATTTTACTTCTCTGCTAACAGTATGTGATAATTCCAGCTGCTTTGCAGCCTTGTCAACACTGACTCTGGTCTTTTTAAATTGTCCTCATCTGCGAGGACATGCATTGATGCCTTTCTGTGATTTTAATTTTAATTTCACTAAGTACAGTCTTGACAAAGAGCGTTCTTGAAATTTGCTTTAGTTTCCTCTGCAGGACAACAGACATACTTCTATAATTAAAGTTAATTTTTTCTTTTAGGCCTTTTAAAAGTGATTGAAAAGGATAATCCAAAATGCCTGAAAATCCTGCTACAGGTATAGAAGCTACATATTTTTATTGTTAAATTACTTGATCCAAAAGTGGATTGTGAGATGGCGTCTAACTTGAGCTCTGATCACCTTTCTGCAACCAAGAGAAAATGCAGGTCCTGCAGGTCCTCGATCGCCTGAGAATGAAATTGCAGGAGAAGGGTGACACGACGCAGAATGAGAAGCTGTCTGTGTTTTATGAGACGCTGAAGAGTCCTCTCTTTAACCAGATCCTTACTCTCCAGCAGTCCATCAAGCAGCTGAAGGGACAAGTAAGTTATTCCTTGGGCCTCACCTCCTCAAATCAGCGGAGGAGTTTAGGAGGATTGTAGCTCTTTGTTCAGCAAAAGTGCTTGGGGCCTGCAAGCTGTGGGCAGCATTGGTGGGTGGTATAAATGTTGATGAAGTTTATGTTGGGCTTTGGAGTGTGATAAATAAGTAAAGGTCAAATGCTTCAGGATCTCAACAGTTTCTTCAAAATTACATTTTTTTTTTTGTTATATGGTGTTGTGATTGAGCTCAGGGCCTTGTGTGAGCTGGGAATCTATCACTGCACTCCATTCTCAGCTCTTGGCATGTATTGTCTGCTTATTTACATTGTTTGTTACATTTTATTTTGTGTGAGTGTGTGTATGTATGTGTGTAGTATGTATATGGGCATATGTGGCAGACAACTTATGTAAGTCACTTCCCTCCTTACACAGCAAGGATCCCAGAGATCCGACTCAGGTCATCATCACGCTTGGCAGCAAGTGCTTGTATCTTGTTGCCCTCCCCCCCCCCCCCTCTCTGTCTCTCTGTCTGTCTCTCTCTCTCTTTCTCAAGAGCCATTAATTGGCTCTAACTCATCTAGGGTGGGGGCTTCTGAGAGTCTCTCTATCTATGTTTGGATGTCAGCTGGCATTGTCATTGTGTAGGCCTTGTTTATGTGACCATGTTATAAACATGTAAGATAGTATTTTCAAATTTATTATTAATTTTTAGTGTGTATAGATTGCTTATATGTTATTGATCTGTGTACCTTGTGTGTGCCCAGTACTTATAGAGGCTAGAAGAGGGTGTTGGATCCCCTAGATTAGAATTAGAGATGGTTGTGAGCTACCATGTGTGTGCTGGGATTTGAACCCAGATCTTTTGGAAGAGCAGAAAGTGCTCTTTACCACTGAGCCATCTCTCCATCTCCCTTTAACATTTGTTATTAACGTTGCTTTTATTCTACTCTGTGGGCACTTGTATCAGCCAGTATTTAATGAAAACTGCTTCATGCTAGAATGTTCTTTAGAATGTTTAAGTGGCCTTGTGATTTTCTTGTCATTAATATTACACAAGAATTCTAAGTGCCTCAATTTTCATATTCACCAAGTGGGATAATGAATGACATCAATTGGGCTATTACAGAAGACTCAATGAGATAATATCCATGTAGGAATCTTGGTCTAGTATCTGACTCTTAGAAACATTGATTAAACACTGTTGCTGTGAGTACTGTTGTTTGCCTACTGTGGATCTCTTGTGGCTTCTTCATGGAGATGTATCGATGAATGCAAAAAGGCCCAGTGTCTTACATACTTAGGCACATCAAGAATAAAGTTTGAAAATAAACATCTTATATAATATTAAACGCTCCAGACTTAAGAATGTACTGATTTGTTGATAGATTCTTTGCTTGTTTTCTTGCTTTAAAAATTTATTTTGCCAGGTGGTGGTGCTACACATTTTTTATCCTAGCATTTGGGAGGCAGAGGGACAGAGGCAAGCAGTTCTCTTTGAGTTTGAGGCCAGCCACGTCTACAGAACTAGAATCAGGACAGTCAGGGCTACACAAAGAAACCCTGTCTCAAAAAGAAAACTTGTTTTATTTTAATTATGTGCATGTGAGTGTGTGTGGGGTGGGCAGAGGTGTCAGATTCTCTGGAGCTGGAGTTTTGGGTGGTTGTGAACTGTCTATGACATGGGTGCTGCTGTACTTGGAAGAGCAGTGTAGCTGCTGAGCCGTCTCTCCACATACCCCCACACACCCTGCCTCTCTTATTTCTTTCTCCCCTTTCTCCCTGACTGCTCTCTCTCTCCTCTCTCTAAACACACACACACACACACACACACACACACACACACACACACACACACACACACACACACACGGTTGTGAGCCACCATGTGTGTGCTGGGAATTGAACCCTGATCTTTTGGAAGAGCAACAAGTGCTTTTAACCAATGAGCCACCTCATCATCTCCCTTGACATTAGTTATTAATGTTGCTTTTTATTCTACTGTGTTGGCATTTGTATTAGCCACGTGCACACAACACACACACACCCCTACACCCTACACACATACCTCACTTTTTCTTTCTCACCTTTCCCTGCCTGCCTGCCTTCCTAAGAGAGTTTCATTCTGTAGCCCTGTAACTTGCTAAATATTGGGCAGGTTGACCTTGTGCTCACATAGGTCCTCCTGCCTCTGCATCCTAACACTGGGCTTAAGTTCATGTGCCACCATGCTGGCCCTTTAGTTATTTAATATGTATATAAATTATATATATAATGCAATAGATATTTTCTTTTCTATATATTTCTGCTGATGATTTTCATATCTTTCTCTCCAATAGCTTAGCCATATCCCCTCAGATTGTTCAACCAACTTTGAATTTTCTCGGAAGGGTTTGCTAGTGTTCACGGATAGTTCTATTACAAATGGGAATGCCCACAGACCTTGTAGTAATTTACCTGCATCTGGATTATTGCCTTGGACCCCAAAGTCAGGAAATGAAGACTTTAACTCAGTCATTCAGCAGATGGCTCAGGTAAGGTCATGTCACTGAATTTATCTTCGTTAGTTTTTCTTCTGTTTCACTTTAAAAAGGAGACTTAGACTTATTCTTTTTGTCTTAAAATGTGTTACTATGTATTTTGTTTGCTAATATTTTTTATATTGGAAGGAGGAATTAACCCTATTCCTAACCTATGTGTTGGAACTTGTCATTAAATTACAGGAGAGTAGGGTATGCTGGCAAATCCTGTAGCCCAGCATTCTGCAGGCTGAGGCAGGGGATCTCTAATTTGAAGCCAGTTTGAGCTACATAGCAATGCCCTTTCAAAAAGGAAAGAAAGAGAAAATACCAGAATACCATAAGAAATTTTTGTTTTAATTTTATATCAAAGCAGAATTTGTGAATTGTATTTAATATAATTTGGAAAATCTAGGAAAACATTAGAATGAAAAATTTAACTGCAACCGTTAATACCTATGGAGAAGTAAATGATAGACAGCTGAAGTTTTTGAATTTTTAATGAAAATCGAAAACTTGAGTTTGGTTCCCAGCGCTTGCATTGTGTGGCTCACAAATGCTGTAAGTCCAGCTCCAGGGATCCAAGCCCTCCTCTCACCTCAGGAGGCTGTTCCTGTGCACATACCCGTGCACAGACTTATACCCATACCCAGAATTCAAAATAAAGTCAGTCTTAAAAATAAGCTGGGTTTGGAGGTGCACACCCTTTAATTCCAGCACTAGGGAGACAGAGGCAGGAAGGTCTCTGTGAGTTCGAGACCAGCCTGGTCTATAGAGTGAGTAGACTCTATAGAGAACTCTGTTTCAAAAAAACAAAAGAGAGGAAAATAAGTCCTTCAGTCGGTCAATAAGCAAACAAAATAAATAACTGAATACATTTGGGCTTGAGAATGAAAAAGAATTTGTTTCAAGTCATGGTAGTAGAAAAGTATTCTAGTTCTTTCATGACTCAGAGCTCCATCTGCTCAGTGTGATGCCCTTGTGATGTGTTATGGTTATGAAGTTCTCACATTGTTTATGCAGTTGCCAACTAAAATGGTAAAATACTCTGCAATCTTGGGACTCTGTAGCCTTTTGAAATGATCAAGTGAATGGAGTATTAATTCATTGCTATAGATTTAAAACAATGATATAAATGCAGCTGGTTGGTTGGGCTGAACATAAGCATGCTTCTGGCATAACCAATTTATTTTCCCTTTTAAAAACGTGGTTTGAATCAAGAGAATTTAAAGAAATTTATGTACAAAGTAATTGAGAGTTTACTGTAGGAAAGGGTGTTTGTTTTCAGCTTTTGTCCAGCACAGAATCTATCTCATAATGTGGATGTATTGTAAAATGCTTCTCAATGTTGTACTCTGTGAAAGGTTTCTAGAACCAGCATGTTACCAGAACACTGAGTATGTTTAGACGAATAGTGATAACATGGGAGAGGCTGCTTTGTGCTGAGCAGGTTTGGTTCTGTGGAAAGGTGATATTTAAATGCTCATCATGTTTCTTATCCTTTCTGACTCCCCCCCTTCATTAGGGCCGGCATGTCGAATATATAGATATAGAACGTCCTTCAACTGGAGGCCTTGGGTTCAGTGTGGTGGCCCTAAGAAGCCAAAGCCTGGGATTAATTGATATCTTTGTGAAGGAAGTCCATCCAGGGAGTGTAGCAGACAGGTGAGAAAGTTCATTTTGTACTTGGTTCATGTTTTTCTGACAGCTCTGAAAATGTTATTATATAGAGAGTAAGAAACTAACAATAAAAATAGTAACAATAGGACCTAGTGCTGGTTAGCTCTCTAGAGGTTCCTTAATCCCACCGTCTCCACATGTACCTGCTATTATGTTTGGAGGGTTCTGCAAAAACTCTCTCTTTGGTTTCTGGTCTTTGGCTTATGACTCATTTCCTAAGTTCACTATTCAGACGTTCCTGGTGGAATGATAGCAGTAGTGGCAGGGTGTGATTACAAAACTCTGTCAATAATTTTTTCACATGTATTTTCTCTGTGTATAGATGATTACTTCTAGTCTCTTTAACCCAATGTTTAAAATAGTAAATATACTGGGTTATAATACAAATAGTATAAAACCTACCATTTTGAAGTGATGTTTAAAATAATACTCAGTGTTTTACAATCATTTCCATTATTCTAGAAATAGTAAAAATTCTAGAAATTTCATCATCTAGAAAAGGAGCTCCCACCTTGTTGTATATATTGTCAGTCACTTCCACTCCCAACAGCTTGCTTTTTTAAAACAGCATCTATCTATAAAGTTCTGGAACATCGTGGGCAGTGCAGGTACAATATATTGATTATTCTTCCTGACTGTGTATTTGATGCTCTGATACATGATGCTCTTATTCATAATGTGAGAGGGTGTGTTCCTTGCAGCTTGACCTTCTGCTGTGTTGTCAGTGCTCAGATGTACCCCAAAATGCAGCATTTACTTCTCAGGTCCTTTAAAAGATGACTGTGAGACTCAGTCTTAGTTCATTTTGGTATAACAGAATATCTGAGGTTTTAGAACTTGTGATGAACAGAGATTTATTGGCTTACTGCTCTGGAGCTGAGAAGTTCATGTCAAGGTGTTTACAACTGACTTGGACTTCTAGCTGTTTCATCTTGTGGTAGAAGGCAAGAGGAAGCAGGGAAGTAAGGAACTAAACTTAGCTTTTGTGAAGACACCAGTCTTATCTATGAGTGGATAGTCCCTTATCATCCCTTAGAAGTGTCACGTCTTGATACTTGACAATAGAAATTAACATTTCCACAGGAATTCAGAGGCATGGACATTGAAACTGTAGCAGAAAACTTTCTGATACCCTGTTGACATCTTGGTCCAAAGTGTTTCTTCATGTGAAACTGAAGTTGAATACATGCAACTAAAGTAATACCAGCCCCTCTAAACATGTCACCTGGTGCAGAGTCTATTTTTACAGGTTCATTAGTCAAAAAAGTATTGTACTTTGAGAACGGATGTTGCTCTTTCTCTCCACCTGTGCAGTCTTGCTCAAGTGATTCCAGTGTTGTGCAAAATGGCAGTGTTAGCATGAGATAGGATGGTGTAAGAGAAGCCTATGAAGCTAGTGGAGTTCCTGGTTTGTAGAAGAATGCCAGAGCCAGCTCTGTGTGCATGTTCAGGTTGTCAGTACCTAAAACAGTCTTTTCTTGTGTGACCAGGGATCAAAGACTGAAGGAAAATGACCAGATTTTGGCCATTAATGACACCCCATTGGATCAGAATGTTTCCCATCAGCAGGCGATCACATTACTGCAACAAGCCACTGGATCTCTTCGTCTGGTTGTGGCCAGGGAAGTGGGCCACACACAGGGTCGTACTTCCATCAGCTCAGCTGATACGTCTCTGCCTGAAATGGTGGGTCATAAGCTGGGAGCATATTCATTCTAAATTATGTTATTCACTGTAAGAATAGTTGGACTGGGTGATGGTGGTATATACCTTTAATCCCAGTACTTGGGAGGCAAAGACAGGTGAATCTCTGTGAGTTTAAGGTCAGCCTGGTCTACAGATTGTGTTTCAGGATAGCCAGGGCTGTTCCACAGAGAAACCCTGTCTCAAACAAACAAAAAAACCAACAAAGAATAGCTGGTAGTCATTGGAAGTCCTTTCCATTATTCTAGGTCAAGAAAGGTGATCATATCTCCATATGGCAACATTACAAGATGTTTATTGGATGGTTTTTTGAGACATGGTTTGCCTGCTTAACAACTCTGGCTGTCCTGGAACTATAGCTCTGTAGACCAAGCTGGCCTTGAACCAGAGATCCGCCTGCTTCTGCATCTGAGTGCTGGGATTAAAGGTGTTCACCACAACCACCCAGCAGAGGAATTTGATTTACTTTTGTCTTTTTAATGTCTGATTGTTTACCTTATTAAGATTATTATTTAACATAAAGACCAAATTAAATATTATTTTTAACTTATTTGGTGATAGATGTCTTATATTCTTTGATGTCATAGTAAGTTAATGTGTATGTATGGGGAGGAGGGAAACCTGCTATGTAGCCCTGCCTGGCCTTGAATTTGCAATTCCCTTGGTTCAGCCTTCAGTCTCCTGAGTGCTAGGATTATGGCTGTGTCCACTATACCTGTGAGTCTCAGAGGTTTTAGAAGCTTACTTTTGACTGCCTTAAGGAAGATGTGGTTATTTATTTTAAATATCTCATATTTGTGAATTATAGTAGAAGTTTATGACTAGATTATTGATTTTATAAAATCATCGCAGTTACTTTTTTCGTATAAGTTAACAAAGAAAAACAGATGTTAATTTAAATAATCGTGATTCTTCATTGGTACTTACTTTTTATGAACGTTCCTTTCCCCCAGCTCCCTGAAATCTTTATAACATTGTGCTAGTCTTTCAGCAAATGTATCTTGATAGGTTCCCTATGCACCCTGTGCTAGGTTGTGGGCACACATTGGGAGACGTTTCTTGTCCTTTTTAAGTTGTAGTGTGGTATGGTCTGTGTATTTTGGTTATTTATGCTTATTTTCTCTATTGAATTATAATACCCTTATTAGTGGGGCTCTCTCCCTTGCTCTAACAATCTATTCATCTGTCTATCATTTATCTTCTATCTGCTTACCTATATGTGGATATCTCTGTCTTTGTAAGTAGTTGTCTCCATTAATTGTCTGAATTTTTGTTTCTTCCAAATCTGTTATATGTTACCATATAGGAAACCTAAGAGTCTGTGGTTTGCCAACACTGGCTCTAACATGCCATTCATTTGCAGGTGTGTTGGGGCCACACTGAAGATGTTGAACTCATTAATGATGGCTCTGGATTAGGTTTTGGGATAGTTGGAGGAAAGTCAAGTGGCGTGGTCGTGAGGACTATTGTTCCTGGAGGACTCGCAGACCGAGTGAGTTGACTTGTTTTTAATTTTGCTTTTATAACATTTGACTTGTATGATTTGAAATTAATTTTATAGCATGAGTTGCTAAGACACATACTCAATAATTAGAGTTTAAATATAATATAACACTTTATATCATCAATTTGCTTTATCTAAACAGTTTCTAATTCAATTTTTCTGACCTCTAACTAACAGGGTTTTGGTTACATAAGAAAAAAATTTTTATTTTTTGAATAAATTTGTCAATGAATTGACAATTGTTAATAATGAGAATTTTTAAAACATTTTTTTATTAATTATACACACAGCATTCTGTCTGCAAGTATGCCTGCAGGCCAGAAGAGGGCACCAGATCTCATTACAGATGGTTGTGAGCCACCATGTGGGTGCTGGGAATTGAACTCAGGACCTCTGGAAGACCAGTTAGTGCTCTTAACCTCTGGGCCATCTCTCCTGCCCAATAATGAGAATTTGTTAAGGAATTGTTAATGAACATTTGCATTTTGACCATGTGCTGCTCTTCAGTATCTTTCAAGGGCTCAGTGATAGAATCAGAAGATTTAGTGACCATATGCATTTGTCCTGGAGTAGGTGACAGGTCTCAGCTGGTAAAGGTGCTGCAAAGCCTGGCAGCCTGAACTTGATTCTGGAACCAACATACTGACAGAAGGGGAGGACTAACTCCACAGCGTTGTCTTCTGACTTCCACGTGTGCACTGTGACACACGCACACTACCCTATTAATAACAGCTTAAACAAAAATTCATTTGATCTACCCTTGCACGTGGAAGATTTCATTTGGTTATTACCTGGTATTGTAAGTCAAGTGTGTACCTTTGTAGCTTAGCAGTGTTTCAGCAAGTGGGCCATGTAGAGCTTGGCAACTTTCTTTTCCACTTAATTTTACATGAAAGGAAATGTTAAATGCTGTATTTGTTTTTATCTGCTTATTTATTTATCAATATTTGTGTGTGCCCGTGTATATCACATGTGTATGGGTACCCATGAAAGCCAGAAGAAAGTATGTGATATCCTGGATAGGAGTTATAAGCATTTGTAAACCTTCTATGTAGGTTCTGGGAACCAGACTGGGCCCTCTGGAAAAGCCTCCCTTAATTAGATTTTATAAATTATTGTACAAATTTGAGTTAGAGCTCATGTTGTGTAGAATATGAATGATAATTCAGAAGTAACTTTAATTCTGTAATCAGAAAATTGCCCTGATTATGTCTGTTTCTTTATAATCATATCCCTCCTATTAAACACTTAAGTACACATGATGGGTTGTTGTGCAGATTCAGCTTTGAAGCTGATAGTGTCCTCAGCTCCTTACTTCTCACAGGGATGGCAGAATCTCATGGAGTTATTTAGCCTCACCCTTCTTCCTGGCCTTTCTGCATCCAAGTATATTTATTTGTAGACATTCTTAACATTTGGTCTATGGGTACCCTAGTCTCATGCCTTTTGTGTCTTTGAGATCAAAGTAATTCTTCTAGTAGTAGTAGTTATTCCTTTTCAACTTTTTTTTTGGTTTTCCGAGACAGGGTTTCTCTGTATTGTTTTGGAGGCTGTCCTGGAACTCGCTCTGTAGACCAGGCTGGCCTCAAACTCACAGAGATCTGCCTGCCTCTGCCGCCCAAGTGCTGTGATTAAAGGCGTGCGCCACCAACGCCTGGCCTCCTTTTCAACTTTGTGTGTACCTATGATACAGAAGCACAGGGAAACTAGAAACTAATGGGAAATTAAGATTTGGACAGCTGTCAAATTCACTAAAGTAATGTTCTGTATGGTGCGGTTAAAAATGATTGATGTCAGTGAACTTTGACCTTTCAGTGCATGTGTAAGGAGTCCTTCTTGACTGTCTTAAAGCATTTGAGTGGATTAGCCATTAAAAAAATACGGGGAGTGGGAGTTGCAGAGAACCTGAGTTCAACTCCCAGCACTCATATAGTGGTTCACAATCATCTATAACTTCAATTCCAGGGAATTTAGCACCCTCTTCTAACTCCACAAGCTCATGTATTGCACATATTTACATGCAGGCAAAATACTCATGCACCTAAAGTAAAATGAATCTAAAAAATTATTTTAAATATACATGATTCAAAAGTTAGAAATAACCAATAGAAAGAATGACTATTTCCCAAATCTTAAGCTTTTTGTATCTCCTCCTGTCTTTAAATTTTCTTTGGAATATAAAGGTGCTTTGAGGGCTAGAGAGATGGCTTAGTGGGTAAGAATGCTTGCTATGCAAAAGAGAGGGCCTGTGTTCAAATCTCCAGAACCCATATCAAAAGCCAGGCAAGTGTGGCTTCCTTTGCCTGAAACTGTGCTGTAGGGAAGAGATGAGAGGACTGCTGGACTTGCTGCATGCTAGCTCATGGCCAGGTTAGGGGAGAGATTGCCTCAGGGGAAGAAAGTAGAGAGTGATGGAGCAGAATATCCAGTGTCCTCTTCTGCTCTCCACACACACACACACACACACACACAGACATACCGGGATGTACGTATACATGCAGTACACATATATGCAACACACACACACACACACACACACACACGACTAGAATGAGAATGACCATCGTGTGTTTCTAAAAACATATCTATAGTGGATGCTGGGGACCAATCAATACCCTCTTCTGACCTCTGGAGACAACAGGTATACATGTGGTACACATACATACATGTAGGCAAAACACTCATACACATAAAATAAAAGATATTAAACAAATACTTATATTTGTGTGTGTGTGTGTGTGTGTGTGTGTGTTTGTGTGTGTGCAAGCACAGTGTGTGTATGAGTGTGACCATAGAAGACAGAATATGGTGTCCCAGAAGCTGGGGTAACTGGTATTGGCAGAATACTGGATACTGGGTTTTTTGCAAGGATGCTGGGACTTAAATTCCAGTTCTCATGAATGGACAACAAGCATTCTCAACTGCTGAGTCATGTTTCCATCTCCAAAATAAATCTTAAAAAGTGTTTATTTTTTTGTAACCTAGAAAGGAGTGAGGCATTGTATTCTTGTTTCTCTCTCTTCTGTCTCCTTCCCCCTAGCAATTTTTAACAGACTTTCTTTGCTGCATGGAATGACATTTGCAAAGTGCAAAGTACAGCAGTTATTTGAAAAACAAAGAACCAAATAAATTTAAATGAAATCAAATAAGTTCCTTTACTGTAAGAATTTTCTGAGCTTTTTAATATACTAATGTGCATTATGAAGTTTTACAAGGACACTGTGATGTGCAGAGTTTCCCAGATTAATCCCATTGAGGCACTGTTGGGAAAAGCCCAAGTCTGATTCTCACCCTTTCCTGGAAGGGATCGTCACTGTTTCAGATCATCTAGGAGGGGCTAGGGACCTGCCCATCAAAGATTTGTAATGGAGAAGCAGGAGTTTGTGCCAAATATTGTCATCTGCCTAATATACATCATTTTAATGTAATCGCCAAAACAGTCTTAAGTTTTATTTCTAAATTGTAGGTATGGAAACTTTAAGAAATTGCCCAAGGTTATACAGCTGGAGAGTGACAGAGCTACTCTTCTTCCTGATAATGTTGGATGAAATCCTCTAAATCCTCTTGCTGTAAACATCATGTAGCCTACTAGCATCCAGTCCTATTATCTAGCATTGAGTGAGTTCTCTCAACACTCCTACTTCCTAAGCTAGTGCATTGGTTACTTTCCTCATTGTTATCACCAAATACCGCATGGGGTGAGAATGTGGTCCACCATGGTGGAAGAAGGTATGGCAGAGTTCATGATGATCTGAGCATTTAGCTAGGACTCCTTTTATCTGGGTAGACCAGAAAGCAAAGAGCAGGGAATGCTGGTGCTCAGCTCACTTTCTTCAGGTTATTTAGTGCAGGACCCTAGCTATGGGTAGTGCCATTTACATCCAGTGGGTCTTCCTTCTCTCTCTGGAAATACCCTCACAGACATTCCCAGAAGTATGTCTCGTAGGTAATTCCAAATCAAGTTTAATTGGCAAGGAAGATGAACCATTTCAGAGATCCTCTCTGGAAGGGAAAAGAGAAGCAAGGTAGTTTAAAAACTGGGTGGGAGTGTACTGAAGAGATGGCATAGCACTTACTGCTCATTCATGAAGACCAGACTTCAGAATCCAGCATCAACATTGGACAGCTTACAAATGCCTGTAACTCCAGCCCCAAGGGATTGGATAGCCAACCCCTTCTAGCCTCTTGGGCACCTACACACATATAATTGTATAGCTCTCTCTCAGAAATAAAATAAATCTTTAAGAATAACAAGATGAAGCCAGACAGATAGAACCTTGAGTCTTAGATCTGCTATTACTCCTGGTCAAACTGCTTCTAATAGATCTGAGACCACCTTGAGGACAACACATTTGAAATGTGTATCCTGTGGAAGTTGATAGCATCTCAGACTTACAATGTGGTCACTTAAGCACACTGTTCAGCATGTACCAAATTGTTTCCTCAGAGGGAGGTATCATTCAATAAGACCATATTGTTTGCAAGGAGACTGTAAGTTCAGTGAGCAATTCCTGCCAGGGATCCTTATCCAAATGATACTAATGCTCAGAATTTCACAAGAGAGAAACTTATCTTGATTTAGGTATGATGAACATCTAACCAACTTGGGTTTTATCTGACTCCAAAGCTCTTTTTTGTCCAGGTGCAGTTTATTGTAGAAAGCAAATTACGTGTGTGTGTGTGTGTGTGTGTGTGTGTGTGTGTGTGTGTGTAAATACTCTCTTCTACCTAGATGTAAGGAGTCCTAACTAACTGCTCATAAATACCATGATCTCTGCCATATGTTTTTCCATCATGATGGACCATACTCTTACTGCATGAGGTATTTGGTGACAACAATGAGAAAATTAAGAAAAAATATTTTTTTAAGATTTATTTTTATTTTATGTGTTTTGGTGCTGCATGTGTATCTGTGCACCTCCTACATGTGGTACCCAGCAGAGGCCAAAAGAGGGCATCCGATTCCCCTGAACTGGAGTTACTGAATG